GAAAACATTACAATGTGTAGCTGTGTTCAGCCCATACAACATGGAAATGAACCAAGTCAGAGCCAAACCAGGATCAAACAGTTCATGAAACACTGTCCTACCTACTTGTGTAGCTGCTACAAAGTAGTTCAAACACCCTGACATAACATACTTGCCACTTAAAATTCCCCATTTTAATGACACTTGTTAGCTATCTATCAGGTCTCGTACAGAAATGCTTATGAAATGTTTTTGGTATTTTAAGTGATAATCTGATTCTGCAGAAGTGAAAACCTGACACCTGCAATTTCACTGACAACACCACAGCTATGTCAACTGCAGTGACCCGAGGGCTATTTCACAAAACCAAGTGTGGATTAAGCTGGGATTTCCCAGTTATCCTAGCTGAATTTAGTATATTCACAAACGCGCTGGCATATAAATGATCAGATTAGGCTAGGCTTGATCAATCTTGGTGCCTTCTCTGCTCCGTCAGCAGTCTCTCTGATCGAAAGTTACGTTTGTTTTTTCTTATTCTGTCAAATGTGAGTCAGTGCTGACTGCATTTATGAAGATGCTATTCATATTGTTGTTAGACATTTAACAAATATTGCAGCTGTTGAGGTGATTTAGAGATGGCTGATACAGCTGCAAAGGTGTCTTCAGTGAAGTCAGTATGTACAATATACTGTACATGTTTTTCTTCCTTTATAATGGAGTACTTTTTATATACAGTATATCTCATACAGACACATACGCACACAGTCCATATGGGTCAATCACCCAAAACAGCCCTACAGCTCTGCTTGTTGTGCAAGTGCTGTCACTTAGCCTAAACTGTCATTCAATGTTTAATTTAACAAATTATTTAAAACACCAGGTTCAAGGAACTGTCTTGTCACGCTGATCATCGGCCTACATGGAATTGGAGTCATATAGGCCCACTTTTCATTTATATTTTTAGCAGTATATTTTTAGGTGACTTGGAACATTCAGTCGGTCCACTACTGCCTACCATGCTTGTTCTCGCCGTTTTATTACAGCAGCCTTGCTTCCATTTTTACAGGTTGTGCTTGAATTTCCCACAAGTGTCCTTGAATGGGCATGCTTAGCGGGTGTGAAATATGCTGCGTGCATCTTCGAAGGGTGTGTTTGAAAACCAGACCAGCATGGTCCAGTTCGTACTTCTCCGGCGTGGCCTCTGTTCATTTTTGACACCGCTCAACACGTGGTGCACCACCACGACCAAATTGAACTCAGCTTCTATGTGAGAATTACTGAATGTATGATCGACCTGGCCTCACTTAGCTGCATCTCCGCAACATGGCTTAGTCTTCATAAAATATACGAAGCCAGGATGTACTTTGTAGACTAGGTCAAGAATCACTTTGTCTTATTATCCTGAATTTCTTAATTCTGCTTTTGTGAAATAGCCCCCAGGGAACATTAAACGATTACAATTGCTTTCACTCTGGTCATCTCTAAGAGTTGCACACATTTATTTCCATCCCGTTATTTAAATGAGTATGAATACTTAACTGTTAAATGAAACTGTCTGACCCTAGTTTGACATGAGCAAATCGTATGCTTGTTTTTAAAAAGGACATCAAGGCTGTGATCCCCAGCACACGCGCGCGCGCGCGCACACACACACACACACACACACACACACACACAAACAGATAGCATTAAGAATTATTTCAGCCTGTAAACACTGTACATCCCCCCCTCCAGCAATATAGACAGATAAAGCAGTGTTAAAAGCATATCTGTGGACAACTACAATCAGAAATTAAGCAACACCCTTGGCACTAAATTCTCACTTGTTTTGCTTATTAACTTGCTGTAACTTGATATGACTGAATGGCAAGGTGGATTTTGGACATAGTATTTATGGAAAACAGACATTTGGCCTTAATATAGGAACATTGTTGCCGACTTCCTTTTACTCTGTCATTTCATTTATACTGCAGGAAACATTATTTTAAAAAAACATTCTCAAATGCATTTTGCAATCTACACACTACCATAGGTTTTCAGGCCTTGTGCCCACTGCGGATCTCTTATCGAACAGAAATAATGCATTTTAGGAGACTGCACAGGTAACCATTGCAATGATGCTGTTACTCTTTACAAACTGAGAACAAGGTTCTCATTTTTAGCTGTTACTACTCTGAAAATGTACAAAGGCTATACTATGAGAGAAAGACAATATATAATTTACATTCAAATTTTGTTTTAATAAATGAAAAGCAGTTATTTGTTAAGAAGTTCCCAGTGGACACAAAGTCTTACTTTTCAGTCAAACCTTGTGGAAGTCAAGGACAATGTGGTTGAACAGAGGTCAGATCAACTCAGCAATGACAGCCAAAAATATCAGCACAAGTCTATGCCACATCATATGATAGGTTATTGGGACAGTCACTAAGCTGCATGCTTTTAAGGTGTTTCCTGCTCTCTGAGTTCAGCAGCTCTGCAAGCAAAATCACCCCAGTTAATATTTCTCAATATGACAAAAACCATCTACAAAAAGCTCATGCATAATGTGCGTCATATACGGAGCATTATTTCATGCTCTGCTAGGACATATGAGCGAGTGAATATAGTGTCTGAAACCTTAATTAAAAGTGGTGAAATATTATTTGGGGTGGTGCACACTGCTAGAGAGATGCTGAAAGGATCATTGTAACCTATTTGACTCTTACCTAGAAGAACGTGTTTATATACACATCACCACAGACATCCTGGGGCATTGGCAGTAAAATGCGGAATGACAAACTCGTTCAAACAATATCTCAACTGCAGTTCCAAACTTTTTTAAAAGTTATGCTGTTTAACACGCAATGGAAGAAAGCATATTCCCACCAGGAATGCAAAATCTGTGACCATAAGACTGAGAATCCATGAGAAACACCATTACGTCTCAGAAAATATATAACTAATATTATAAATGGTGTGATGCTCAAATTATTATCGATGTGGAATCAATATTAGTAATAAACACGCTAGTGTCAAGTTGTTTTAGATAAATTATCCACATGACAACATCCAAAAAGCCCAGAGAATGCACAACGCCTTGAATGAAAATACTCAATATTGGTATGATCACTTCCCAACCCAAACCGATTAATCATTAAAAAATACAAACTGCAGCCTGAAAGGCAATTTCAACAAGAAATACAGTCATGGCCAAAAATATTGGCACACCTGCACTTCTGTCCGATAACACATCACTTCTCCCAGAAAATAGTTGCAATCACAAATTCTTTGATATTCTCATGTTTATTTCTTTTGTTTGCACTGGAAAACAAAAAGCAGTGAGAAAAAGAAAAAAGCCAAATCTGATACACTTCACACAGAACTCCAAAAATGAACTGGACAGAATTATTGACATCTTTTCAAAATCATCAGAATTAGTTATTATTTCAAGCATGTGAAGCTCTTTTAATTTGTAATGAAACTCACCTGTAGCAATCAACAGGTGCTGGCAATAGAGAAATCACACTTGTAATCAGTTAAAATAAAGAAAAGGTGACTCAACCTTTGTGCCATGTGGACCACCGAGCACGGATTAAAGAACAGGAAAAAATTGTCTGAGGGTTTAAGGACCATAATAGTGGAAAAGCATGGACAGTCAGCGACTGATTTCAGTTATTTTGTCCAAAAGCTACGAAATATTAAGTTGAGTGTGTCGCTAATTGTGTCCAGCTCATTTTTGGAGTTCTGTATGGAATGGATCAGATTTGGCTTTTTGCTCTGCTTTTTGTGTTGTTCCAATGCAAACAAAAGAAACAAACATGAGAATACCAAAGAAGGTGATTGCAACAATTTTCTGGGAGAAGCATTGCATTATCTGACAGAAATGCAGGGGTGCCAATATTTTTGGACACATAAAAACCATTAAGATATATCTACCATGCAGCAGTCAATGTCAAAATAACAATTAGCATAATCATGAATATGAGGAACTACACTTAACAATAAAAAAAAGCTAATTTACACATTAATACAGCTAATTTTCATTTATGGTATACTTATTATTTACAACTTCTCACAGAAGAAACTGATTTTCTTCAGTTTGAGTAAATCAGGCAACAACAAAATTATGATTTGGTCACATGGTCAAAAAACTTGGGATTTTAAAACACTGAGTTTCTGATGCTAGCTTTTGATTTCTGAATGTGTTGATTTTTTTCCATGTAATTTACTCTTGCCAAAAATATATCTGTAAATTAGGCACTAATCCTTAATGTAACCCAAATTACAGGTGTTTAAATTTATAGCCACAGATGACTCCCATCAGAATATCAAAGATTTATTGATCTATGTGACATTATGTGTAGTAAGGGCACCAATGTTTGGATATCTACATTGTCAAAACATGGTATCACAAGGACAGACTTATTCTCATGTTTTCACTTCACCTCAATGTCTTAAACTGAGGTACAATGGTTCAAAGGTGAGCAACACTAAGCTACAAAACATTTAATTTGACAAAATTAAGATGCCAGGAAATATTACCGACATGCAAATACGGCACAAACACATTGTCAAAATATTCTGTGTGCAAAAGTCAGAGACACTGTTTGATAAATACATTTTCACCCTCTCTTACTTATAACATGACGATATACATTCAACTTTTAAATTGAAATGGTAATATGTATACAACATTACACTGGATGGGACTTAACGTGCAGATCGCTCTAATATCGTCAGGTTCAACACTGTATTTTTCTCTAAAGAAACACATCTGAACAGACCAATACAAACTTAGAATTTTGTATAAGTGGTGTAAAAATGGCTGGGGAATACTGTAATATCTGAAATTGGCCAATCAGGAAGAAGCCATGATTACAAGCAAATTAATAAACCCATTCAGTTGTAGACCCACATAATGAAATGCCAAAGTACTCAATCTTTATATCCATGCCAGAAAAAGAGTCAAGATTTTGAGCCACTGGCCATAACTGCTGGTAAAACCCAAAATTTCAATTACTTCCACTTTTAACGAGAAAAATGCGTGTTTAAATTTGTAGAGGCGAGTAGACAGTTTATCTGCATTGCCATTATTACATACCATGTAACAGCATCAGGTCAGTGGTGCTTTTATACAAGTACATGCCTCCTGTAAGAGAATTCATGCCTCTATTTTATGATATAGCGCAATACAAATTAGCTGGTGAATTTTGCAATTTACCAGCAGAGGCCTGCATAGCAAAAAGTCAGTGCATCCACAAAGTCAACTTCAAGTGGTTATCAGTGTAATTTGGTGATTTTAGAAGACACACAGCATAGATACTACAAACACCTAAATGTAAAGCAACATAATGAATACGTGTTAATATGTACAGTTTCAATATACACAACAAGAACTGATCACTAATCATGAAAACTGAAGGAAAGCGGACTTACCTTACACCTACCTGAAACCATAGACTGAGTTTTCAACGTCTTTTCCTCTGCTCATGTCCCACCTCAAAACTTTATTCAAATCAAAGGTCAAAGCTTTTTAAACCGTTTAACCTAGGCTACACCCTAAATTTAATTGTATGGTTGCTCAAGTTTTTAAAGTGTTCAAAAACGTTTTCAGAAGTATAGGCACAATACTCATAATTGCAATGCCAACATTTTCCATAATCTGTTTTAGATGATAATATTGCACAGATATCATAGATGAAACTGTGGGTATGGCAGGTTGCATTAGTAATTTTGGAATTGTGACCCTAACTGAAGCCCAATCCAATGAAGAGTAAAGGTGGTCAGCATTAAAAGGAAACTTTTTAAATGTCAATATTTTATTCTCATGCCATATGTTTTAGGCTTTTACTAGTATGGCTCATGGCAGGTTCAAAGCACGTTGTGAGGAAAAGGAGGACAGAGTTTACGTCAGAAGAAAAGGGTGTACCTACCTACCTCCCTTTTCGCCTAGCGGTGTCGGTACTCTCTCTCCCGCTCTCTTTCCCGGTCTCTGTCCCGGTCTCTCTCGCGATGGCGGTCTCTCTCGCGGCTGCGTTCTCGATAATAGTCCTCGTGCCGGTCTCGACTGCGAGACTTGTGGCGTCGGCTCTTTTCCCTGGAGCGGCTGTGGTCACGTTCCCTTGAGCGCTCTCGCCTGGCAAAGACAAAGAAGCTACTTTTAGAAACCAAGTCTTATGAGGCCAACTCCCATTTGAAAGAAATACATTAGGCTACAGTAAACAGAAAATACAAACCAGAAAATACTAGACAAAGCAGGGATGACTATATCAGAAAGAAGGGAAATCTTGCACACAGCTTCAAATCTGCCTTGCTTTTTCCCCTTAGTACTAGATCCAAAATATAACACTGTTTCACAAGTTGTATTTTTAGTATAACTTTAGTAAACAGCGGCAGTGTCATAATTAAATGCTACTCTACTAAGTTTTAAACTTACCTGGAGGCAGAGCCATAGCTTTTTGACTCAATGCCATGAAGACAGTCCTGCAGAGAACTGATGAGGACCTTACAGCGGTCATCTGCTGACACTTTGGACTGTTTAATCAGACTGATGGCAGTCACGAGGGTTTCTATAGCACTGCCATAATCAGCTAGAAAGAGAACACAAGGCAGCATTAAACTTTGATTTATGAGAGACTTAATGTCTCACAACAAGCATATAAATGCACTGTATGCACAATTACTGTGCGTTACCTGCACTGGCGTCGGACACAGCCCTAGATATGGCACTGGAGGAGATGGCTCTGTTCCTGTTCATGATCTCCTCAAACTCTGCCTCGCTCAGAGGAGTCCGTGATGCCTCCATCTCCCTACAAAAACACAAATACATAAGGATCATGGCACGTTATGTTTAAGAGTTAAAATTGATACTTTGCAACTACTGCAAACTAGCTTAACAAAAACCTTTATAAAGTGAAAACTGGAAAGCTAGAGCTTTCTAATTATCAAGCACTTAATATAAAGAGCAAAACAGGCCAGTGTACTGATATTGTAATGCCAACAGAATATAAACCGCAGTTTTTGTTTGTTTGTTCCCCTTCTACAACCCATCCTTACCGGCCTCCAGGACCGTAATCTCTGTCATATGGCGGAGGGCGTCCGTATGGGTCATTAGGCCCTGGGGGCCCTCGGCTGTCATTGGGGGGCATACTGCTGTTACCAGGTGGGGGGAAGAATGCTGGGTTGACATGAGGGGCTGGTGGCGGTCCACCTGGTGGGGGACCTGGCATGTGTGGAGGTGGAGCCAAAGCCATGGGGGGTCCAATAGGACC